TGGATGGAAGCTACACCAACTAGATGTGAAGAATGCATTTCTTCATGGAGATCTAGTGGAGGAGGTATACATGGAGATACCACCAGGATTTGGTACAGATCAGACAGTGTGAAAGGTTTGCAGATTGAAGAAGTCTCTCTATGGCCTGAAGCAATCTCCCCGTGCTTGGTTCGACATATTCAGGCCGGCTATGATAGGTATGGGATACCAACAGATCAACGCCGACCATACAGTGTTCTTTCGACGGAGTGGAGGCCACATTACTATGCTTGCGGTATATGTGGATGATATGATTATTACAGGGGATGATGAGAAGGAGATTGCCCAACTCAAAGTGAGACTGGGTAAGGAATTCGAGGTGAAAGATCTTGGCTTGCTTCGATACTTTCTTGGAATAGAGATAGCTCAAGGAGCGAAGAGGATCGTCCTATCCCAGAGAAAGTATGCACTGGATCTTCTCAAAGAGACAGGGATATTAGGGTGTAAACCTGCAACTACACCAATCGACCAGAAGTTTAAGCTGGGTGCTGAAGCTGGAGAACCAGTTGATCGTGACAGATACCAAAGGCTGGTGGGCAGGTTAATCTATCTGAGTCACACACGTTCCGATATCTCTTTTGCAGTAAGCATGGTAAGTCGCTACATGCATGATCCGAGGAAGGGTCATAACGTTCCGATATCTCTTTTGCAGTAAGCATGGTAAGTCGCTACATGCATGATCCGAGGAAGGGTCATATGGACGCAGTGTACCAGATTCTTAGGTATTTGAAGAGTGCCCCCGGAAAAGGGCTGATATTCAGGAAGAATGAGCATATGAGCATTGAGGGTTATTGTGACTCGGATTGGGCTAGCTGTGCTGATGACAGGAGGTCCACCTCAGGATACTATATCTTTATAGGAGGCAACTTGGTCTCGTGGAAGAGCAAGAAGCAGTCAGTGGTGGCGAGATCAACAGCTGAAGCAGAGTATAGAGCTATGACCTTGGGAGTCGCGGAATTGTTGTGGTTGAAGAGTATGTTGGTGGAGCTGAAACTGGA